CGGCTGAAAGTCCCAGCCTATTACAACGAGGTTGTGTTTGTTTCTCCATTTGCAAAGGTTTGAGAGGCTCACGGCTTTCTCTGTGTCACCATAGTTGTGCTCGATGATCAGCAATAACAGGCTCAACGCCTTCCAGATTTATGCTGGGAAAAAATTCGCCAGCATCCGCCTGTGCAGGTGCATTCGACAGATCGACGTGCTCTGCTCGGAAATGCGACGAAGATTGGGAGTGAAAGGCGAAGAGGCTATGGTGGATGGAGCTCACGACAGGGACAACGTCTCGGACAACGAGGGGATTCACGTTGTCATCGACGACTAGAATCAAGGTTCTTCACTCTTCTGGTGGTATCGCGCAGAGACGTACACCTGGAGCAAGCCTGTGATAAAAGGAACGCACCCTTCTCCTCGAGACAGCCACAGCTCAACGGCCGTCGGGTCTAAGCTCTATGTGTTTGGTGGTACCGATGGAACCAGCCCGCTCAACAACCTCTTTGTTTTGGATACTGGTAAGCTCCGAGTTCTATCGATTTTTTTTTCTTGTTCTTATCATCCGATGCAGCTACCACCACCTGGGGGAAACCCGACGTTTTTGGTGATGTTCCTGCTCCGAGAGAAGGACATAGCACGTCTCTCATCGGTGACAACCTGTTCATGTTTGGGGGATGTGGGAAATCCAGCGATCCCTCAGAGTAGGAGTCCTACAACGACCTCCATGTTTTGAACACGAGTAATATCCTGTTATCTTTCCTTGTTTACTTCTATTTTTTTTTTTTCCTGTAGATACTTTTGTCTGGAAGAAGATTTCTACCACTGGAGTCTCGCTTATTCCTCAGGATAGCCACACCTGCTCTTGCTATAAGAACTGTTTCGTTGTCATGGGTGGCGAGGATGGTGGTAATGCCTATCTAAACAACGTTTGTATTCTGGACACAGGTACATACATTGTGCTGGTTTTAAACTTGCGAATTCATTTGCGTTTCCAGAAACAATGGCATGGTGGGAGGTAAAGACGACTGGTGCGGAGCTGATGCTAAGAGCCGGGCACACAACAATCAGCCTATTCATTTATCCTATTTTTAAACCTAGGAATGAAATTGTTTTTGTTCGTGGAGTAACGCTACGTTTTGTAGAGTATCTGCTATAGAAACGTTATCTACCAATAGAATTATCAATCTCTACACGTATATGCCTTTTTTTGTTGTTTTTTTTCCTGACTGGTGGTTGTAGAGGTCACAGGAAGGATTGTGCTCTACCCTGAGATCTGCAGTATGGCTTCAAGAATGAGTTCGCTCAAGTTTGTTTTGGAGATTGTTATTTAGATGGTACGTTTCATTTATCCTAATTCTAACCCTAGGCAGGAATTTGTCTTTGTTCGTAGAGTGACGCTACGTTTTGGAGACTATCTTCTATAGAAACGTTATCTACCAATACAATTATCAAACTCTACAGCTACATGCCTTTTTTTTGTTTCTGCTCTTTTTCTTGACTTGTGGTTGTAGAGGTCACAGGATGTATTGTTTTCTACCCTGAGATCTGCAGAATGGCTTCAAGAATGCAGATGATGCTATGAAGCAGTGCAGCTATATCAGACAGGGCGATCTTTAAGCTTAGTGAAAGTGACTGAGCAAGTTGTATTTCTTTATGTGAATGAATTTGTTTTGAGTTAATGGAAAAAAAAAGTGGTTCTGAGTTCTGAGTGAATGTCTCTTTGTGTTTGCGTTGCCAAGGAAGCGATGTGGACATGAGAAAAATAAATCTAATTTTATCAGATGCCTCTGGTGGACCAAAGGGCTCTCTGCCAAGGAAGGAGTTTTTGTGTCTGTAATTAGCAAGAGCGTGTCCTTGGTTTGCGGTTGTGGATAGAAATTTGAGGCGAAACAGCAGATATATCCATATGGAAATGGGATGTACCACTTCAATTCTAGGTTTGCAACTGCTCCATCGATTGAGGGAATGCTTTGCTCAAGTATGCTTTGTAGACTGATATCTAGATGGTACGGTTTCATTTATCCTATTTCTAAACTTAGGTAGGAATTTGTCTTTGTTGAGTGACGTTACGTTTTGGAGACTATTTGCTATAGAAACACTATCTACAAATACAATTATCAAACTCTACAGGTACATGCCTTTTTTTCTTTTGCTGCTCTTTTTCCTTGCATATCAGTTGACTGGTGGATGTAGAGGTCAAGGGTATTGGATCAGAATGTGTTGCGTTCTACTCTGAGATCTGCAGATGACTTCAAGAATGCCTATGAAATTATGTAGCAGTGCAGCTATATCAGACAGGGCAATCGTTAAGCTTAGGAAAGGTGGCTGAGCAAACTGTATTTCTTTATGGGAATGGATTGGTTTTGAGCTAATGATAAAGAGGTGGTTTTGAGTTCTGAGTGAATGGCTCTTTGTGTTTGCGTTGCCAAGGAAGTGCTGTGGACGTGAGAAAAATAATACTAAATTTATCAGATGCCTCTGGTGGAACCATAGGTCTCTCTGCCAAGGAAGGAGCTTTCGTGAGAGTAATAGCAAGAGCGTGTCCTTGGCTTGCGGTTGCGGATAGATATTTGAGGCGAAACAGCAGACTGGCTTACATCCTTCTTCTATCTTGGCTCTTTTCTTTGCATAAGAAAAATGAACGAGATCAGCAATGCTCAATCCCAGATCCAGGTGAGACTGTAGTGGCGGTAGTTCCAAGCAAGGATAATTTGAGCACCAAGTCTAGAGCATCAAGGTCATGGCAGCCATCTGGGAGGATATGCCAAGGCTCAAAAATACTCTCTGCTGCAGGGAGACATGCAGGAAAATATCCCTACCTTGTTATGAAAAACACCAATTACTTTGATCTCGATTTTTCTCTAACATATGTTTTGCAACGGTGGATAGTTTCATTTAAGTGTTTTCTTCCAGGAATGTTGTCTAAGTGCGTAAGACGGTGTGCTTGAAACAAATAGCCCAATTCCACCGGGAGCAGACTGGACATCAAGCTCCCGGTGGAAGACCAGGTTAGGAAAGTGGGAGACCTCTAAAGATTTGAAAAGATTCATTACAGAATCAGTCCAGTCTTGGACTTTGAACCAAAAGAATGTTCTTCTTGTGATGGATGCTGCTATAGACCTAAACCATGTAATCCATAAAAAATGGATCTTATGTGGTTCTATCATCAAGGCCACTGCCACTTGAGATGAGGCATAGAGTTGGTTTTGCAACCTCCACTGTCCTTGAAAATTGGTCATGCTATATGCAACGTGTTCAGAGGTCTACTTCCAAAACAAAATGAGAGGACTTTGTGAATGCTCTTGGCCTGGAATCAAAATGGTTTGCCAAACCAAGCCTTGTGTATTCCATAACCGGTTTATCATCAAACTCTTTATTTAAAGTTGCTATTTTGGCATCAGCGCCACATATTCCATTTTAAGAATATTCAAATTAATCTGACTGGTAGAGTATATCATCTGGATATCATCTGGTAAAAGAGTCTCGACCCCCCTATCGTCGTCCCTGCGATTCTAACTTGAGATGTTCCAGGATGACCAAGATATTCCGGGCAATTGCAGCAACGGCGGCGTCGAGCCTGGTGAGGGACAAAAAAACCTCCTACCAAAAGCCGCAACCTACATTTGTTCCTTATCCAACACCTTTGAGTGAGTTCCTTTGATTTAGACACTAGAAAAAACTCTAACACGTTCGTTTTTGGACAGCTCCAGAAGAAGTCCAGGGAACGGCACTGGATAACGATCCTAAGCGGCTGAAAGTCCCAGCCTATTACAACGAGGTTGTGTTTGTTTCTCCATTTGCAAAGGTTTGAGAGGCTCACGGCTTTCTCTGTGTCGCCATAGTTGTGCTCGATGATCAGCGAGAACAGGCTTGACGCCTTCCAGACTTACGCTGGGAAAAAAATCTCTGGCATCCGCCTGTGCAGGTGCATTCGACAGATCGACGTGCTCTGCTCGGAAATGCGACGAGGATTGGGAGTGAAAGGCGAAGAGGCTATGGTGGATGGAGCTCATGACAGGGACAACGTCTCGGACAACGAGGGGATTCACGTTGTCATTGACGACTAGAATCAAGGTTCTTCACTCCTCTGGTGGGATCGCGCAGGGACGTACACCTGGAGCAAGCCTGTGATGAAAGGAACGCACCCTTCTCCTCGAGACAGCCACAGCTCAACGGCCGTCGGGTCTAAGCTTTATGTGTTTGGTGGTACCGATGGAACCAGCCCGCTCAACGATCTCTTTGTTTTGGATACTGGTAAGCTCCGAGTTCTATCAATTTTTTTTTCTTGTTCTTATCATCCGATGCAGCTACCACCACCTGGGAAAAACCTGACGTTTTTGGTGATGTTCCTGCTCCGAGAGAAGGACATAGCGTGTCTCTCATCGGTGACAACCTGTTCGTGTTTGGGGGATGTGGGAAATCCAGCAATTCCTCGGAGTAGGAGTCCTACAACGACCTCCATGTTTTGAACACGAGTAATATCCTGTTATCTTTCCTTGTTTTCTTCTAACTTTTTTTTTCCCTATAGATACTTTTGTCTGGAAGAAGATTTCTACCACTGGAGTCTCACTTATTCCTCGGGATAGCCACACCTGCTCTTGCTATAATTGTCATGGGTGGCGAGGACAGTGGTAATGCCTATCTAAACGACGTTTATATTCTGGACACAGGTACATACATTGTGCTGGTTTTAAACTTGCGAATTCATTTGCGTTTCCAGAAACAATGGCATGGCAGGAGGTAAAGACGACTGGTGCGGAGCTGATGCTAAGAGCCGGGCACACAACAATCAGCCATGGAAAGTATCTCGTCGTGTTTGGAGGATTCTCCTATGATCACAAGCTATTCAATGACGTCCGTACTCTCGACTTAAGTACGTGAGTCTCTCATGGGGCTTTTACGTATATTGTAGCGACTGGTGTTTGGGCAACTTCGAATCCCTCTGGTCCCGAGCCTTCTCCACGTTTCTCCCTTGCAGGAGATTCCGTGGACGCAGAGCGAGGCATATGATTCTTCTATGGGGGATGTAACAAAGAGCTTGAAGCTCTAGATGACATGTATTTCCTCGACACAGGTTGGGTTCTTCTTTAATTGACATTGCTGCCATTCTTGACAATATGGTTGCCAGTTTTCTGTGAAGAGATGCTGAGGGAGAAAGATCCATCAGAACCAAAGCTATCCATGCGTAAGGAACTTAAGAGAAGGCGGCAAGAGTATCGTGCCACGCCATTCGTGCTAGACAAGCAACGGGATGCGGACAAGAGCTTGGTTTCATCTCACGGAGGTATCTGCAGAAAAACTTGGACCTTTCCAATTTTTCCCTGTCAAACTCATGCTACATAGTTTCAAGCTCATGTTCAGCCGCTAGGCGAGAAGATGTTCGAGGCTAGAGTAAGCGACGTATTCAACTACGGATACACATTAGAAGCGTCCATCGATGGGAAGCTTTTCCGTGGGCTGCTCTTCTCGTACAAGCCTGGCTTTGCTCAGGCAGTGCAATCTTACATGGCGAGATTTGTTTCATCAATGATCCTTGTAGCATGAAATTTTCTCTACCATTGGGACTTCTAGACAGTCAAGGGCAGGAGACACGTTATAAATAATGTAGTATTACAACACAAATACAATTGAATCTGGCACCAATTCACTTAATTTGTCCAGATATGGCCATGGCCACTATTCTTTGTTTGTCTTTCTTAGTTCTCTTTTTCTCTGCGAGTTGGTGAAGTTGGATTGGATCCTACCTAGTGTGTCACAAGAATTGATACACGTCCATGGTGTGACGATGCTCCTTGTCTCCAGACTAATTGGATTTGTACAGCACCGTGTTCCTGTAGAGAAACGCATGGTCATTAACCTGCTCTAGATCACCGCCACCACAGTGAAGCTCACCTTGCCACTGGGTCGAGCAGAAGTGATAGAGCAAACCAGTGACCTCATCAATCTCTGCTGCTCGTGGGTGAAGGCCGACCCTGCAAGATCTTCGTCCCTGTCCCTTGTGATATCTTCGTCCCTGTCCCTCGCACTGACCTTCTCACCTGGCCGCTACGTACATGTGACTGATCCCAAACTCCTGGTGGATGGCCTTGAGATCTTCTCACTGGTGATGCTGCTGCTGCTGCTGCTGCTGCTGTCTCTCTCTCTCTCTCTCTCTCTCTCACCACTGCTGTCGTTATCAGATACCGATATGTAGTGGTGCTCAAATTTTGTATCCTGGATCCACATGAGAATGACGTGATAGCAAAGAGCAAGACTTACCTGTAGCATTAAGTCGACGAACTATGATTACCTGTATCCCAAGATATTCATTGACTTTCTCCAAAAAGAATAGATATCAGAGGTCCACTCTGTAATCAGGACGAAAGGATAAATGTAAACACTGGTCACACAGAAGTATATTGATACCTACAGGTGAGAGGATCATATGGGTGAAATATGTTCATCATTTGCCTGCATGCTGACTTTTTTTCTTCAATGCCTTCATCTTCCCAGTACTCATGACCTGTTCTTATGCAAACACATTCAAACGACATTGCAAAGACCGTAAATCATACACATACCCTAAGAGTATATCCTAAGCTTCATACCCTAAGCTTCTAAGAGTTTTCGAAAAACCATCCAGTACCTGTGTTTGCAATGTCAAAATAAACTCTCCTGATAATCTTCAATTGAACTCTTTTGGCATTATAAGTAGAGAAATGCCTATGGTGTAGAATCCAGTGCACGCTTAGAGCTGCAGTCGAGAATGCAGATCAGGTGTGTATACAATGACAAGAATATCTCAACCCACCTGAAGATTGTTGGCCAGGACATGGAGGTGTTAATATTGTTTAATGCAGGAAGCAAACGAGTTATGTGAGCAGATGGAAAGCCTGTAGTTAGTGTTAATCAACAAGCTTTCTTGAAACAGCAAAATACAAAAGTGATGACAGTACAGCCAAGATGCAGTCACTACAGCTTGAATTGAGAAGGAAAAGAAGAAATCTGTTACTAAGAGAAGACTGTGGGCTTTGATGAGACAGAAAAATCAAAAACTGAACAGGAGGTACTGAAGATTACGGAAGAACTTGAAGACGCATGGGAGTTGAACAGGTTTCTTAAAAAATACATAGCTGGATATAGATTAAAAAAATGGATGTTAGTGTGCAAAAGTGGAAGTTGAGATGGCAGATGCAACTACTATAATGAACTGAGGGTGGACAAGGAACTCTGAAGATTATGTGACACTTGATGCTGCAGCAATGAAAATGGAACGGATTTTAGAGACTTCCTTGCCAGATTGTCCACCAAGCCATTTTGCTGTGGAGAAGCAAAAAAGTTATTCAGGCTTTACAGTTAAAGCTACACTAAGCTTTTGAGTTTGTCAAAGATGCAGAGCACAAGATGGAGGCTTTAACTGATGCAACCTCAAATATGTCTAAAATGCAAGAAAGTGTTCAAAATTTCTGAACGATACAGGTATTGCTCAGAAGAAAAAAACAATGTGCTGCTTCTCCAGGTACTCTAACATTCAAGTGAATCCAAGGTGCCTTGTGATGTTTCTCCAGTCCAGTGAAGCTGATCAATGGCATTGTGATGAATACAACAGAATCCAGTGAGCTTTGTTTTTTTTTTTTTTTTAAAATGACTAACATTGTGATGGTTCTTTAGGCATGTGTTTGCATTCTAGCAAATCCAGGATGGCTGTTTATTGCCAGTCACAGACAACTCACAGATGCACAGTAAGTTTTTCTAGCACACACTTGCTCTCTAATGCACTAAGCATGTAGACTTGTCTCCTATCTATAGTTTATCAAGAATCCCATTGGGGCTGTGTGCCTGGAAGGAGCTCCCATCACTCACTGAACAAGCCACACTGTCCGATGCTCCCTGGTGCTACACCAAACAAGCCGTGCCAATGTTGTCCCATGACACCGTGAACATGGAATCCCACCCATTTCCAATCACAGCCATGTTACGAATTATCTCCTAAGAGAGCTGAAAGGACCACAACTGCAGTGAGCCTCCAGCTCCCGGGCTGCTGACAGCAACAACAGCAGCAGGTTCACCTAGCCCAGAACTGTGAGTCTGGCACCCAATGAGTAGAAGCGATGCGTTTGGACACACCTCCGCAACTTGGTGTGTGTAGCTCACACCTTGGGAGATGTAGTTGAGGTCTGGTTGGAATAGGTGGAGAGGCAAGAGCTCAGACTTGTAAGCGATGTCCTTGGTAGCTCTCCAAACAGGATCCAATTGACGCACATGTTTGCCTGGGTGGAGGTGCCCTGGAACACAACCATAAGGTGTTTGTTAGCAGAGGTGGTGTCTTCCTTATACACTGGGCCCCAAGCTTTGGAGTCCGAGGAGGGGTCAAGTGTTGGAAGTTTGGGGATGGCTTCCAGCTGGGGATGGAGGCAGGCATCCATAGGTTTTGGTGGAGATTGTGGTGAGCGGGGAGATGAAGAGTGCCAGACACTTGGGATCATGCTGTGAGAGCTTGAAGACTTCATCCCACACTTCCAGACCTTCTTCGCTTGGTGGGTTTTGTTTGGCTGAGCGGTGGTGGTGATGGCGGGCTATAAAAACACTGGCAGTAACAATGTGATATGCAGGGCAAAGGCTGTCTCAAGATAGACCAAAAGAATTTATTTATGGCTTTGATGACATAGATGGAATTTTGAGAAAGATTAAAGAATATAAGGAAAAGATAAAACAGTTCAAGAAGATTAACAAAAAGAAATTGGTAGGCCCAGGTAAGCTTGGATCCAATTTATTTTTTTCTTTTTCAAGCAGAATAAACTTTTTTTTTTTGCATGCAGCACTTAGACTTAGTGGAAAGCTTTACAACAATTGACTCCCACACAAAAAAGAAATTCAGAAAATCTTTGACAAGAAAACCAACAGAATTAATCCATATGTATTCTCGGCCATTATGGATTCGGTGTTCCATTTTATGTTTGCAAGGAATTTAAAGGAGATATGGCTCAGGAACTCATCAACACTATAAATGACCTCCATCTTAAAAGAGGCATTAAGAAGTGGAAACCAATATGTCTCGAAGGTATTGCTTTACAAGTTGATACTACATTTTCTGAGGACATGTTTGAATACAATCCATTCAAAGATGCAGAAGACCTCGACATTTGCATTAAAAAGGATATGCTATAGTCAAAGATCATGGAAATTAAAATATGATATTCTCACCAAAGTCTCAGTTTTAGATATCCTAGAGCAGGAATAGGAAGAAGTACCTTCTCTTATTCTACTTTTACAGATCCTCTTACCTCGTAAAAGCCATATCTCAAACTTTTTAAGCATAGCTCTTTGTCTTCTTTTTTTCCTTTTTCTTTTGTTTATTTTCCTCTTCTTCTCCCCTTGCATCCAGGGTTTGCTCACTTGCACCAAGCCTATTGGCAACAACCACAACCATTCCTGGCAAACAGTTGATCTTCAACTGCTTTCCATAGCAACACCCTACAGCCCTTGTCGTTTCTTTCTCCAGCAACTCCACTACTGTCACCATGACTCAAGATCTGCTGTACAAGTTGGATAAGAAAAATTATCAAAGCGAATGTCTCTGATGTTAGCAGTAATTCTGTAACTGTCTGAACTCTCCATAACCTTGAGATTAAGTCCCATCATATGAACAGCTAAATTAGAGCCCGATGACCCGGTGACATAGATGAAACTGATGGAATCTAGAGTTACTGAATACCATGCACGTACTCTAGCTACAATCTCTATATCAGCATCAAGTAAAACTGTTGAAACTCCTATAACAAATATTGACTTCCCATCATATTCAGATATTTTACAACCTTTTACACACAAGAACTGCTTCTCTCCTCTTTCAAACTTTTCATATATTTTTGACCCTACCTCTTCAGCTTTGGAGTCCCAAAGACAAACATCAATACTCCTTCCTGATTCATCACCAAGACATAACGTCCTCCTCTTAAGGAGAGTCCCAGTATCCTTGCATATAACATTTGTCAGTCCAACCAATATAACAACACCAACCATCTTATCTTCTCCAACACATGCATTATTATCTAATTGCATTATTGTACAATTCTCTGGAGATGAATAGTAGCAAAATTAAGATAAATTTAACAAAGTATACAATCAAAATTTTTAATATTGTAAAATTAAAAAAGAAGATCTATTTATCTTGGGTATGCTGTATCTCCCAGCGGAGTTGGGGTCTCTGCTAGTACTCATATATTTAAACAAAAGAGCCCATATAATAATAGCATATACTGGCGACACTTATTCTGGGCATATGCCAAAATCTAACGGCTGAAATTAAACAATGTAGAGCCGTGACTTTTGGGATCATAAAAAATTTCAATTGTCTTTTAGGGCGCATGAGCACGAGGAGAGAGCGTCGATCATCGCTTGCGGGAAGGTACTCTCTCCCCCCTCTCTCTCTCTCTCTCTGTGCCTCTGTGTGTGTGTGTTTGATGAGGTCTTCATTGCAGAGCACCTCAGAGCTACAGTCAGCTGTACGTGAAGATCTGAAGCTGCTACTGGTTCAAAAGCTCAGGAAACCATTGTCAATGGCCACACTCTGGAAAATGACAATCTTTTTTCGAGTCTCTCAAGTCCCTGTTTGTTCCAGGTTCTCGAGGCTGGAACCACGACTAGAATCAAGGTTTTTCACTCTCTTGCTCTTTGCTATTCTCTTTCGAGGCTTAAAGTTCCTGTTTGTTCCAGGTGCTCGAGGCTGGAACCAAGAGAAAAAAAGAAATTTTCGCCCACGGTTCACTTCAGTGGCTACAGCCGGGACGAGTGCCAGACCAACGATGTGCACGTCTTCGACTTTGGTACAAGTTTCCTCTTCTGGGTTTTCCGGAAAAAAATGGTTTTGATCATGTTTTTGGTGGGATCGCGCAGGGATGTACACCTGGAGCAAGCCTGTGATAAAAGGAATGCACCCTTCTCCTCGGGACAGCCACAGCTCCACGGCCGTCAGGTCTAAGCTCTATGTGTTTGGTGGTACCAATGGAACCAGCCCGCTCAATGATCTCTTTGTTTTGGATAATGGTAAGCTTCGAGTTCTATCCATTTTTTTTTCTCGTTCTTATCATCCGATGCAGCTACCAACACCTGGGGGAAACCTGACGTTTTTGGTGATGTTCCTGCTCCGAGAGAAGGACATAGCGTGTCTCTCATCGGTGACAACCTGTTCGTGTTTGGGGGATGTGGGAAATCCAGCGATCCCTCAGAGTAGGAGTACTACAACGTCCTCCATGTTTTGAACACGAGTAATATCCTGTTATCTTTCCTTGTTTTCTTCTAAACTTTTTTTTTTTGCTGTAGATACTTTTGTCTGGAAGAAGATTTCTACCACTGGAGTCTCGCCTACTCCTCAGGATAGACATACTTGCTCTTCCTATAAGAACTGTTTCGTTGTCATGGGTGGCGAGGACGGTGGTAATGTCTATCTAAACGACGTTCATATTCTGGACACAGGTACATACATTATACTGGTTTTAAACTTGTGAATTCATTTGTGTTTCCAGAAACAATGGCATGGCAGGAGGTAAAGACGGCTGGTGCCAAGCTGATGCCAAGAGCCAGGCACACAACAATCAGCCAATGGGAAGTATCTCGTCGTGTTTGGAGGATTCTCCGATGATCGCAAGCTATTCAATGGCACCCATACTAACTTAAGAGAAGGTGGCAAGAGTATCGTGCCATGCCATTCATGCTAGACAAGCAACAGGATGCGGACAAGAGCTTGGTTTCATCTCACGGAGGTATCCGTGGAAAACCTTGGACCTCTCCAATTTTTCCCTGTCAAACTCATGCTACAGAGTTTCAAGCTCACGTTCAGCCCCTAGGCGAGAAGATGTTCGAGGCTAGAGTAAGCGAAGTATTCAACTATGGATAGTGTTTGGGG